AATTCAAACACAGGCAGTCTGATTCCAAAAGGAGCACACAAATATCATCCTATATCAGCTATCTTCCATAGGGTATTTTGCCCTTGGTCCCTGGCTTCCTGCCCTGGCAGGGAAAAGAGACACTAATCACAGAGGTGTAGCAAACCCCAATATCACATCCAAACCAGCTGCCTCTGTTGCAGTCCAAACTCCAACAGGCCACATGGGTGCAACGAGATTATCATCATTAATCATGAGACTGACAAGGGTATGACATCAAGGTCGAGTTTCTGGGGAAGGCTTTCGAACATGAGACACTTCCCAGTCTCATGCTGGTTGGCTATTTCCACCTGCTGATATATATAACCACTGAAGTGAGAAGAAGTGACAGACGGGGTTCTAAAGAGGGAAAGGTGCATTCTGGAAGCAGGAGCAAGAGTTAGCATTCCTTGAGGTTCCCAGAAATAACATCTGGAAACAAGGTGCCCAGAGGCTTTTGGAGTAGGCTATGCAGTCTATAACGATGCTTGGGATGCAGGCGCAGGGCATGTTGCTTCATCTCCCTGGAAACCTTCATGCTGTTTCTATCTAAAAGATCAGTATGAAAATGTGTACCTGAAACCTGTCCCCAGAAGAAAGAACCTGCAAGAATAATAGTTTGCAAAGAGCAAAGGCTAAACTCATGAGAAAGAAAGGTACCCAAGATACCTAAAGAAGTCAAATGTCAGAGCTGATTGCCTTGGGGCCTATGGGAATGAGGGCAGGCCATGAAGCACTGGCTTCTAACTCTAATTAACTCTAATTAATGCTGTAGTGGGTAGCACCCTCCCAAAATTTAGTTCAATAGATAAAGGGAAACTGATAACAGTACCAAAAGCAAAAACAATACCCACTGCCATGCATCAATTCTGACTCACGGTGACCATATGTGCTATAGAGTAGAACTGCTCTATAGGGTTGCTTGGCTGAAATCTTTACAGAAGCAATCACTAGGCCTTTCTTCCACAGCACTGGTAGATAAGTTAGAAATGCCAACCTTTAGGTTAGTAACGAATAGCAAGCCATTTGCACCCCCAGGAACCTGCCTGATTATAGTACCAGCCTCAAGTAATTCCTATACCCTGCCATTCTGTGTTACTCATGTGTATACAATAATGCTTACCCCAACTTCCTACAGCAAATAAGTGTACAGACGTCCCCTGGAGATGGAAATTCAGTTAAAGAATGCAGTGAGAAACTGCTGAGCTACACCAGCAGTACAGGCCCCAAGACAGACAATTCACTGAGTCTATCTGTTTCAAACAAGAAATTTCCCACTGGAGACAGTTTTAATTCCTATATGAAAGAATTCTGTCTCATTCTTTCCAAGCAGCAGCATCTAGGATTACAACTATACAGTATTCCCAAAATAAAACCCTGGGAGAGTACAGTCCTCTTCCCCAGAACTCACAACATTTCTTCTCAGATGTTCGGAGATTTGGGGGTTTGGTTTCATGGCTGTTGTTCTGTTCTGAGGAAGATGCAAAATCCACAGACATGGCAGCTCTTCAGGAGATGTCTGTAAGGGACAAAAGGAATATAAGGAAGGGAAGGAAGGAGACAGATCTCAAAATACTCAAAGAAGAGGAACAGTGTCATACAGTGAAATCTGTGAGAGTCAGAATTCAGCAGGACAGCCTTGTTTTTCTGGGCTTTGCAAGTTTTCAGCCTTACCACTCTTCTATCTCTCATTTTAGTTGAGTTTTCCTTCTCTGAGATTTCTGCTTTTGCAATTTTACTGCATAAGTGAAAGAACCTTGTTGAGAGTCCAGTCAGTCTTCTTTCTCCCACTTAATAGCCTTGTGTTTTTGGCTAAGTCATCAACCTCCCTGTTCTGTGCTTTCTCAGCTATACAGAGTTGCTCAAGACCTTTGCATTTATATGCTGATTTAGCAGTTTGCTTTCACATAAATCATCTCCTTCAATCCTTCCAGTAATGCTATAAGGAAGATTTTGCTACCATTATGACATCTGCCCATTTTACAGATTGAAAAACTGAGGTTAACAGCCATTAAGTGGCTTCATTTTTTTTTTTTTTTCATGACTTCAGATTTCAGAGTTTGATAGTCTGGGAGAATCGTAGGAGCTCGGGAGGAATATATCAAGTTCATTAACAAGAAAGTAATTCCAGCCCATTGGTAGGGCTTAGCCTTAATTTAAAAAAAAAAAAAAAAAATAGAGAAGCGGGGAAATAAAAGGCGTAAGCCTGTTCCCTGCAGGAAAACCTGTAAATGGACGCTAAGACAGCTCTAGCACATCACCATCTCTCCTCTGGTGTATTCACTCACAAGCCTTGCCTTCTGCACTCTGTCCACATCTATCGCATTCGACTGAAAGACCTCTGGGGCGCAAAGAGGTGGTAAATGACTTCCCCAAGGTCACCTGCATTAAGGGAAAGTTTTAAATCCTTGAATCGAGGAGAGACAACCGACCTCGTTCATGAGGGTTCCAAGCTCCCTCCCCAAAACCAGACAACAAAGGGTCTCCTGAGCGAAGAAGGGCTTACTGCTTCAAAAACCTTACACTGTCCCTCCACTCACCACACAAATCCTCGACCAAAACAGTAGCTGCGGCTCCTAGTCCCTGAACGTCCGCAATCCCGGTAATGCGCCGGGGCCGACACTTCCCGAAGGGCCGCGGCACCATCGCCCCTCACCTCATCCCGCCCGTCCATTCCCTTTCAGGTGCTGTGCAGTCGCGGCTCACCCTTAAGATCCTTCCAAAGATCCCTTCCGGCAGCGGCCCTGGTGCTTCCCTAAGAAACGCCGCAGACCCGAGCATATAGACTGGCCAGAGACCCGGCAAACGAATCCCAGATACATCATGTGCTCCTGTCTGGCTCCGCCCACCTTCGCATAGATCCTTACCTGGAGAAAATCATGGACCAACCATGAACCAGCAGGCCCCAGGGGGCGGGGCTCAAAGCTGAACCCCTGACGATAGCTCCAGAAGGAGGATGGAACTGTGAAGCGGAAAAATCACAAGTTCTCAGGTTTCCTACCACTGTAGTGGTTAGTTTCAGTGTTGCCTGGTAACTAATGTGGCTAGGGGCGGAGTTAACAGCTTTACTTTTTAAAAAGTCTCGCGAGAGTGGAGTATTGAGTGGTTGTCTTGAGAGGTTGTGACCTTTCGGTGACGGGACAATGTTGCAAAGATTAACGCTTTCCATCCCTGAATCCCAGCAGTACGTATGCCTCAACCACACGGCCATCCAGTCGAGTTTGGGTTTCTAACGCTGTAAATCTTTACCGAAGCCTTAGCGGCTGGTGGATTTCAACCTTGGACTTTCTGGTTATCAGCCAATTGCCTCACACGCTACGCCACCAGAGCTCCTTTGGAACGAAAGGTTAGAACGTGCTTTTAGTAGGGTAAGCTAATGTCCATTGCTCAAAGTCACCTAAGAAAATCAATTACTACCATTGTTGAATGAGGAGCTTCCCTGGATCCATCCACATACTCCAATGTCTTCTAACCACCTTTTCACACGCACACTATATCACCTGCTATTGTCAGCCTGAAGAACCAAGGAAGAAAAGTGCTTCAACAGAAAATTGGATCATGAAAAGTGTGCAAGATGCAAACGTTTCATATATTTATTCAACAGTGAAGGCTTTTACAGAGGGGGTGAGTTTGCAAATTCCAAGTAAATGACACTATTCATAGTTGCCTCAAATCTGTGTGATCCTTAATTTTATTGCTAAACCCACTCTAGGCAGGGTGAGACTTACTGCTGTGAACTGGGGGAAAAGAACACCTCGAGTGTTGGTTTCTTGGAAAAGAGAGATAATCCGGGGATATTTTTATTCTTCCTTCACCTGGAAATTAAGTCATCCTTCAAAACAATTCAAATAGTATATCCTCTTTGAAGCTTTTTACAACTCCCAGTGTGCTTATACAACTCTGTCTTTATCCACCAGCCTTCTGGTTAGCAGTCAAGTGCCTCAGACACTAAGCCACCAAAGCTCCTAAGTATTTATTGAGTACTTTTTATTTGCTAGGCACAGTCCTAGGTCCTAGTTGAAAAAACCGTCTCATAATCTAGTAATATCAGGTTGCTTTGAAATTCAATGTCTATGTGTCCCTGCCACCCCAAACCTAACAGTTACTTTCAAAGAGTACTTACTAGTTACACTGAAGGCAGGAATGGAGTCTTCTATATATTGGTATGCCAAGGGCCTAAACTGAAGGCTGTTGTTGTTGTTGTGTGCCATTGAGTCACTCATAGCGACCCCTCCTTGGGTTTCCGAGGCAGTATCACTACGGAAGTAGGATTGCCCAACCTTCCTTCCGAGGAGTGGCTGGTGGGTTTGAACCGCCAGCCTTCTGGTTAGCAGTCAAGTGCTTTAGCCACTATGCTACCAGAGCTCCCAACTGAAGGCTAGATGATACAAATTAGTCCCCATCACTCTTAATTGTTCCTCCTTATACTTCTGCCACCTGAATGTAGCAGTTGTCCTACGCCCAGATGCTGATCTCATACTGTACTTTCTGATGTGGCAAATCAACCGTTTCCCAAGTCCCACGGAGGCCACTTGTCCAGCCCTCAACCTCAATGAGCCAATGTTTGATACAGCCACGCGTCTAGTCACGAGTATCTGATTGTTTTTGACAGGTCTTTTGACTCACTAATCATTCTTGACATTCCTTTGCGTTCTGAACTATGACTCTTTTCCTTTCAATGTGGTTTGGAAGCCCCAATTTAATCACTTCCCACCTCACTAAGTGCAAGCTTACATTCCAATTGATGCCGGAGCTACTTCCTCCGCCCTCTTCCCTTGAACATATATGATGCCCACGGTGAGGGAATCTCACACTACAGGTAGCAAGACCAATCGTACTTTAGAAATAGGGACACCCTTTGGCTCTTAAGAGTGGGGAAAAAAATTAGTTGTCACTTTAAGAAAATTCAATCCTGTTAAAGCGCTAAGGCAGAAGCCGTGTCTAAGTGTCGCGAGACTAGTAACCAGGAACAACATCTCGCGATGTTTGGCCCGGCGAAGGGTGGCCATTTTGGAGTCCACCCGGCGGCTGGTTGTCCCGGCGGCGTCTCCCAACTTGCTGCCGGGACCAAAGCTGGCCCCGCAGGTGTCGGGCCTGTGGGCGGCCGGACCAACACGATGTGGCGGCTCCGCTGCAAGGCCAAGGATGGCACCCATGTTTTGCAGGGGTTGTCCAGCCGGACCCGGGTGCGGGAACTCCAGGGCCAAATTGCCGCCATCACCGGGATCGCCCCCGGCGGTCAGCGAATACTCGTCGGATACCCTCCAGAGTGCCTGGATCTCAGCAACGGAGATACTATTCTGGAGGACTTGCCCATCCAGTCAGGTAAGGGGGTCTGGGCTAGGGCCAGGAAATGACCTGGGAAGGCGGAGAGGGATATGAGAGTGAAGAAAGAACCAGCCATAGCAGGTGGCCGTGGGTCAACTTGGGGCATTGAGGGCAAGAATGAGGGTGAATTAGGAACTGAGAACTCCAGCGGAGGCCAGGGCAAGTGTCTAGCCACTCCTTGTCTTTATAAATGGTTGAAAAAGGCAAAGTGGGCCCAACCCTTGTGAAAAGCCCAAACCTTGGAGTCTCCCTTCCCCATTCTTCTTTCTGTTCTGCCTTGAAAAATGTCTCATTCGTTTTGTTTTCCCTCTACACTTACAAAAATGTTTTAAAAGAAAGAAAGAAATAGGGTCTCACACAGTGGTTCTTTTCCTTTATCTCAGCAGGTCTGAAGGGTGCTGGATATTTTGCTTTCCTGGTTCGTTTTTGCAATCACCTTCATAAATAGTTAGTTTCATGGTTAGGTATGCTCATTTTCGAGTTAACTTTTAAATAGTCACTAAAGTACTTTTCAAGTTCAAATGAGTATTTAAACTTGAACAGCAACTTTGGTAATAAAAGCTTTCAGTTATTACATCAAGGACCCTGTAAACATCTGAGTAGATGTTTTTAAGTTTCGGGTAGAGGAGAACCCCCTAGTGGCCTAGTCTGTGGTGAACACTTTCTGGGCGGTTTGTGCTTTTAAAATGTAGAGAGCAAATCTAGAAACATTTTGGTTTCGGAATGTATCTTTTTAAATAGGTATAAAGATTTATAACTCAGACCCCTTCCCTTAGTTGGGAAGCAACATGAAGCGTTTTATTGTTTGCTTTATTTTCACATTTACAAAGTTTCAGTGAACAAAAAGCATTAACTGGTAATTTGTAAAGCTGTATTCTTCTTAGTAACCCCTGTTTATGCTTTAACTCCTTCTGTTTGTAATTTACAGACTTGCCTAGCGAACACCCAATCTCATCTGTATTTTTTCTGCAGTTCTGGATTTCTTTTATTTTTAACAGGCGACATGCTGATCGTTGAAGAAGACCAAACCAGGCACAAAACTTCACCTACATTTGCAAAACATGGTGCTCCTAGTTACTACAGGGAAACTTTGCCTGTGCTTACCAGATTTTCAGTTCCAGCAGACAATTCTTGCCTGTTTACCAGTGTGTACTATGTTGTTGAAGGGGGAGTCTTGAATCCAGCTTGTGCCCCTGAGATGAGACACTTCATAGCACAAATCGTAGCAGGTGATCCAGAGTTCTATAGCGCGGCAATACTTGGAAAAACCAACCAAGAATACTGTGACTGGATCAAAAGGGATGATACTTGGGGAGGAGCTATTGAGATATCCATTTTGTCCAAGTATTATCAGTGTGAAATCTGTGTAGTGGATACACAGACAGTAAGAATTGATCGTTTTGGGGAAGATGCAGGATATAACAAAAGGGTCCTACTTATTTACGACGGCGTCCACTATGATCCACTTCAGCGTAACTTCCCTGACCCAGACACCCCTCCTCTGACCATTTTCTCTTCTAATGATGATATTGTTCTTGTACAAGCACTGGAATTAGCAGACGAAGCTAGAAGAAAGAGACAGTTTACTGATGTAAACCGCTTCACTCTGAGATGCATGATTTGTCAGAAGGGATTAACTGGACAAGCAGAAGCAAGAGACCATGCCAAGGAAACAGGCCATACCAACTTTGGAGAAGTGTGATCTATGCATGATGGGGGTTGAAGCCTACTACCTCACAGATCCAGAAGGCTCTGGGTATTCCAATAAGCTATTCGTAACCCTAAAGAACAAAAGGACAATGCTTGAACCACCTTTTTAACTTAAAACCACTAAGACACTGAAATTCCTTGTTAAGATTAAAATTAGTGTGCAAGTTTACAGATGTGTGTCTACAGTGGTGATGATACCCTCTTTCTGCTGGGGTGACAGAATAGGTGGTGCTTGCCACCTGCTGACACTAACCCGAAGAATGAGTTTTAGTATTATAAACTAGCACCCAGCAACGTTAACTTGTAGAAGAAAACAACATTGCATGTGTTGGGTGATACAGAAGCCCTCACACAAGGGCCCTGGACATATACCACAGTGTCTCCAGTAACTGAGTCCTTTTAAGAACTTTGAGTGAGTTAATATTTTCTAAATTAGGAATTGATTCCTCAAATGAAGATACTCAGAATTGTCAAAATGGATTTTGTATTACAATTTGGTAGACTTTATAAATGTGTACTTTACCTATTGTAAATACATACCAAGAAATTTTTACAGGGATGCGTCTATTCCTTAAGAATGTTACCTAAAAACAGGAACTGGTAGTTCCCTGTTTTATTCTAGAGTATAACAGTGGAATGTATGAGGGAAAAGGTGCTTGAAGCAGCTGGCTGAAGCTTTAAAAGACCGTTGGCCTCATGTTTTAATGCCATTTATTTATTGGTCTTTGTTATGTTGGATACAATTTTAAAATTAAGCAGGGTATTTTTTTTAATTGAATTTCTTGAAATTTGAGTGGACCGTTTTGCTTTGCTTTGCTTTTTTTCTTTTTTTTTCCTGCATAAAGATTTGTCTGGAGGGATTTGATTTCCTTGACTTTTTAAGAACACTTCCTGTAACTGGAAAAAAAAAAAAGATGTTATGGTAAAGTAGTATCTAAAGTAATAATTTTATGCTTTGTTGTCTTTTTTAATCTTTTGCTTACCTAAGCAGTATCTGTTCTCTTGTTACCCCATCCCTCCACTAATGCTCTTTTGAATAATTTCACACTTCTATAAAACTAATGCTCTTTTGAATAATTTCACATTTCTGTAAATTAGCCCTTTGCTGTGAGCAGTCTTTTACTTTGCCTTTTGAAGACTTTAAAGTAATTGGGATGATAATGTTGAATGAATTAATTTCACTTCCAAAATAATGAAACCTTTTAAATCTTTGCCTTATTCTGCTTTCTCAGAATTCTGCTTCTTCCGAATATTAGATGTAACCATTTGCTTGGTGAGCTAATGCCAAGGCAACACCCTCTAAAACACCTTCACTATGAGCTCTTCCAGATAAAGTTTTCTACCTCTTTTAATTCTTCCTAAGATCAGGGATGCTAAATTTCGAATTGTTAATGTATTTCTCACAGAATGTGAAAAGGCTTAATGTTGTGAAGTTTTGTTAGCTTGGTCTCATTTTTCATTTTTTAAGTATCTCACTTAGAAAACTTATGGTATACTTAAAAGCACTTATCTCTTTCAGCATATCTTCTTGGCAGATGTTTCAGAATTAACATTTAGCACTTTCACTTGGTGAAGGTGGCCATGTAAAAGTAAACATGTATGCAATTTAGGGAAAAAGGACCTTTAAGGAACAATTCACGAAGAATGCTTGAAATCACCAGATAACATTTCTTGAGTACCTTTGTGTGTATAGCTGCTTTAGGCATTTTTAAGTTATTATGATCAGTATAACTTAACAGTGTTTAATTTTCAATTTTTCTGAGCCTTAAAACAGCACTTGGGAGCTTACAATACTTAATGATTGGCAATCATGTATGTAGAAATAAATACAATTGAAAATCTCTTCATACCTGTCATCTGACCTAAATAGTTTTTGTATTTTTTTATTTCTTCGAGAAAATATTCAATTTCAAGCTGTAAATTAAGTATATACATACATATCACTGGTAGCATCCATCAAGTTGAGCTTTATGCATCATTATTCATAAAACTTCCCTTCCTTTCTTAGTACTTCAAGAGCCAAAGTTGCTTTTGCTTACTGAAATTTTAGATCTAGAAGTTAATCATGCAACAAATATTTATTGAGTAATTTATAATGTGCCACGCATGTATTGGTGTGTTTCCTAACACATTTCTGTCACTTTCAAATTGAGTCTTTGTTTAATTTAACAAATGGAAAAAAATAGAATGTTGATGTTTTACATTATTAAACCCTTCATTTTAAGTGTTTTTGTTTACATATTTAAGCTTACTACTTTTATAGCAAGTATCAAATATTTATTCAAGGGATCTTATTTTATTGTGTTTTACTTGTTACTTAGTTGTCCTTTTACAAACTGGACACTGATACTCAAATTGCTGTCGGGAATGACTTTATTAATCGTCTACTGAAATTGAGCACTAGTACTTCAGTGCTCTGATCATGGAATATTCAAAACAGAGCACTGTTTGTAGACCAATTAATTTAATTATTAAGAATTAAAAGCCTAAACTTGTACTTAAGCCTGTACACTTCATATAATTTAAAGATTTTTTTTTTACAGCACTCATTAAACTTTATTAAAATTAGTTACTAGGGTGACTAAATGCTAATCCTGAGAACTTTGAACGTCTATGGATTTAGTACTTGCAGCAAGATTGTCTTTAATATGCACTTGAACATAATGAGACCCTTCTTTTTCCTTTAGTCTTTGACTGCCATACAAGAATATTTTTTTAATTAAAATGAAGACAGTTTATATTAGTGACAATGAATAAAGACTGTGATTTCCAACTCTTCCCCCCCCCCTTTGTTTTTTGTTCTTCTTTGGATTTAAAGATTAGGTATAGTACTATGAAGATAGCTGTATTTATGATGCATCATCTGTATGTTACATCTTTTAACGCTTATGGTTGATTTCTTAATTATTTCCCATGAATGAGAAATAGGCATAGTCAACTGGTGGTAGGCTGGAAAGCTTGACTGCTGGTCAACTTGACCTTGTTGGTAGGGACTAATATAGTCCTGCCAGTTGATAATTTCATGAAGTTTAAGTCCCAGCAGAACCATAATCAGGAATGAATAACATTATCTCTCTGTACATGCCCTTAAGTGCCCATTCCTAACTTGCTTATCTAGCTTATTCCTTCTGTCCTGTGTAAGGTTTGAAACATGGGTATAGCAAGTTGCCCTAGCTAAACGTAGTTTTCTGCCTGAAAAATTCAACTGAGGAGTATGCAATATTAAGTAACAGAGTGATATTTTTTCTTTATGAATCAGGTGGCCTTCCTAAATTTTTATATGTAATTAAGAATCATGCTCTTTCATATATTGAGACACATTTGTTATTATTTGCAGCACTTTAAAAAATACGAAATAAAAGTTTACATGTTAAGGATTTTGTTAAGGACTTTACCATTCTTGAGCTGCTAACAGTCATCTCTTAATCATCTCTTGCCATCACTGTGTAATATACCGAGTGGTACAGCATGCTAGTGTTTTGATAATTCAGTTTCAGTAACTTTTAGAGTATGTTCTGTGCCCTAGCTTTCAAAATGTTACATCTTACTATGATGTGGTTATCATTTATTGTACAGTGCAGTTCTTGTAGCAAAAAGACAAGTATAACAACTAGAAGGGTAAACTCTTAAAACTTAATTTGCTTCTAAGCAAACTTACTTTAAGGGCGTCAGTTTTTCAGTCAGAGGCCTTGAAAGTGACATATACAGGTGACATCATTTTTAAGACTCACAGACACTGATTTAAATAAGCTTTCTTATTAAGAGTTATAATACTTCAGCACATTTTATCCAACTTAAAACAATAAAACTTCTCCAGTTGTGAAAAGTTATTTTATTTTTCCTTCTCCAAAAATTAGCTGACATTTTGTTTACAGTGCTTTGAACATTTGATTTAGGAAAAAATTACTACACTGATAACTGAATATTTAGGGTGCTGATTTGGGTCTCGATTCATAAGTATTTGAAGTTGATAACCCTCTCATGATATTTTAGGGGCAAAGGGAGGGCAGGGCAGTAGGGAAGTGCCACTAAAAAAAGATTGTCAACTGAATGCATTCCTGTCGTTAATTAGGTTTTTTCAGAAAAATTTTCAAGCAATGCCTTTGTGTCACCTCAACCCTTCTTCCCCATTTTTTGGCATAGAATGTAGCAGGGCTATAAGTGAAAAAGCTTGTTATTAAAGGATAAAATCATGAATATAAGCATTTTGCTATGGTGTCTTTTATACTTAGGTTTTAAATAAATGCTTGACACCTAAGGGTTTAAGGGTCATGAAGACAAGCTATGGTTAAGTTGTGGGGTAAATAGACATGGTTAACTTAAGCAAAGTATAGAATTTCTACTAAGATTACTACGTGAGCCTGACTTTATAACTGGTATAGGATAGGTAGGTAGTTGTAGCCTTTAGTTACTTAAGGACCGGGGGACCTAATTCTCGTCGTTTTCCAGTTCACGTTGGTGCCGTACAGGACTCACACTGTTTACAGGAAGTACATACTTAGCAAAAAGTAGTTCTTTTCCTTTAAAAATTTTGTGAATTCAATTTAAAATAACAGAATAAATGTGTGTAGGTTGTCAAAGGATATAGAGAATGTGACATAGTGTTCCTGTTTTAACGCAGTAGAGACAGTGCCTGAAGCAAGAAAACCACAAGTAAAGACTCTTCAATTTAGAGCTTGGGAACATAACTTGAGAAAGTGTTAGGGAAGGGCAAAACAAAGTTCTGTTTTTCTTGGCATGGAAAATATTTTTTTGTAATGAAGATGGGCAGTGTTTTCTTATTTTTAAAATGTTCATTTGTCTATTTGCCAGCCTTTTTTCTAATTTAATATCCTGCTGCTGCCAGGGAGATGTCTAATTTCATTTGTACAATTCTTACGTGATTTTGCCATTGTCATTAAGATGAACTGATTTTATTTATGAGGTGTGTGATTTTAAATGTCTAAATGCTGTGTGAAGTGACTTGTTTTGAAGGAATAAATGAAGTAAAAA